GGGTTTGTCATATATGGCCTTTATTATGTTGAGGTACTTTTCTTCTATACACATTTTGAGAGTTTTTATCATGAATGGATGTTGAATTTTGTTGAATGCTTTTTCAGCATCTATGGAGATGTTCATGTGATTTCTGTCCTTTTTGTTGATGTGGTGGATGATGTTGATGGATTTCAAATATTATACCATCTTTCCACCCATGGGATGAATTCTACTTGATCATGATGGCTGATTTTTTTGATGTATTTTTTAATTCGGTTTGCTAATATTTTGTTATTTTTGCATCTATGTTCATCAGGAATATTGGTCTGTAATTTTCTTTTTTTGTGGTGTATTTGCCTGGTTTTGGTATGAGTGATGCTGGCCTCATAGAATGAGTTTGGAAATATTCCCTCCTGTTCCAATTTTTGGAAAAATTTAAGGGTATTAGGTTTTCACTAAATGTTTGATAAAATTCAGTGGTGAAGCCATCTGGTCCAGGAGTTTTGTTCTAAGGTAGTTTTTTAAACCAATTTAATTTCATTGCTAGTAACTGGTTTGTTCAAATTTTCTGTTTCTTCTTTGGTCAGCTTTGGAAGATTGTATTTTTCTCAAAAGTCCATTTCTTCTAGGTTATCCAGTTTGTTAGCATATAGTTTTTCATAGTATTCTCTGATAATTCTTTGTTTTTCTGTGGTGACCATAGTGATTTTTCCTTTCTCATTTCTGATTCTGTTTATGTGTGCAGACTCATTTTTACTTAATATATCTGGCTAGGGTTTTATCTAGTTTGTGTTTTTTCTCAAAGAACCAGCTCCTGCTTTCATTGATTCTTTCTATTGTTTTATTTTTCTCAATTTTATTTATTTCTGCTCTAATATTTATTATATCCCTCCTTCTACTGACTTTGGGCCTCATTTGTTCTTGTATTTCTAGTTTCATTAATTGTAAGTATAGACTGTTCATATGGAATCGTTCTTCTTCCCTGAGGTAGGGCTGTATTGCAATATACTTCCCTTTTAGCATGGCCTTTGCTGTGTCCCACAGATTTTGTGGTGTTGAATTATTGTTGTCATTTGGCTCCATATATTGCTTGATCTCTGTTTTTATTTGGTCATTGATCCAATGACTATTTAGGAGCATGTTGTTAAGCCTCCATGTGTTTCTGGGCTTTTCTGTTTTCTTTGGGTAATTTATTTCTAGTTTCATACCTTTGTGGTCTGAGAAGCTGGTTGGTATAATTTCAATGTTTTTAATTTACTGAGGCTTTTTTTGTGGCTTAATATATGATCTAGTCTAGAAAATGTTCCGTGTGCACTTGAGAAGAATAGGTATCCTGTTGTTTTTGAGTGGAGTGTTCTGTAGATGTCTTTTAGGTTCAACTGTTCTAATGTGTTGTTCAGTGCCTTTGTCTCCTTACTCATTTTCTGTTGGTTTATCTGTCCTTTGGAGTGAGTGGTGTGTTGAAGTCTCCTAAAATGTATGCCTTATTTTCCCCTTTAATTCTGTTAGTATTTGTTTCACATATGCAGGTCTTCCTGCATTGGGTGCATAGATATTTATAATGGTTATATCCTCTTGTTGGACTGACCCCTTTATCATTATTTAGTGTCCTTCTTTGTCTCTTTTTACTTTCTTTGTTTTGAAGTCTATTTTTTCTTATACAAGTACTGCAACACCTGTTTTCTTCTCCCTATTAGTTGCATGAAATATCTTTTTCCATCCCTTCACTTTTAGTATGTGTATATTTTTGGGTTTGAAGTGATTCTCTTGTAGGCAGCATATAGACAGGTCTTGTTTTTTTTATCCATTCATTAACTCTGTCTTTTGTTTGGTGTATTCAAACCATTTACATTTAGGGTGATAATCCATAAGTATGTACTTATTGCCATTGCAGGCTTTAGATTCATGGTGACCAAAGGTTCAAGTGTAACTTCCTTACTATCTAAATGTCTAACTTAACTCACTTAGTATGCTATTACAAACACAATCTAAAGTTTCTTTTTTTTTTCTCTTACTTTACTTTTTCTTCCTCCTTGATTCTTTATATATTAGGTATATATTCTGTATTCTCTTTATCCCTTAACAGACTTTGTGGGTAGTTCATTTGATTTTGCATCTGCTTTGTAATTAATTGTTCTGTTTTATTTACTATGGTTTAATTACTTCTGGTGGCAGCTATTTAGTCTTAGCAACACTGCTATCTATAGCAGTCCCTCCAAAATACACTGTAGAGATGGTTTTAGGGAGATTAATTCCCTCACCTTTTGCTTACCTAGAAATTAACTCCTCCTTCAAATTTAAATGATAATTTTGCCAGGTTGAGTATTCTTGGCTCGAGGCCTTATGTTTCATTGCATTAAATATATCATGCCACTCCTTTCTGGCTTGTAAGATTTATGTTGAGAAGTCTGATGATAGTCTGATGGGTTTTTCTTTGTACGTGATCTTTTTTCTCTCTACCTGCTTTTAAAAGTCTGTCTTTACCTTTGATCTTTGCCATTTTAATTATTGTATGTCTTGCTGCTGTCTTCCTTGGGTCCCCATGTTGAGAGATCTGTGCACCTCCATGGCCTGAGAGACTATGTCCTTCCCCAGATTGGGGAAGTTTTCAGCTATTACTTCCCCAAAGACACTTTCTAGCCCTTTTTCTTTCTTTTCTTCTTCTGGTGTCCCTATAGTGCAAATATTGTTCCATTTGGATTGGTCACACAGTTCTCTCAATATTTTTTCATTCCTAGAGGTCATTTTTTCTCTCTCTGCCTCTGCTTCTTTATATTTGTGTTCTCTAATTTCTATTTCATTTATTATCTCCCCTACTACATCTAATCTGCTTTTAAATCCCTCATTGTATGTTTCATTTCAGATACTGCATTCCTTAATGAATGAATCTCAGTCCTGAATTCTATCCTGAGTTCATGAATATTTTTTTGTACCTCCATGAGCACGTTTATGATTTTTGTTATGAAATCTCTTTCAGGAAGATTGATGAGTTCAGTTTCACTTGGCTCTTTTTCTGGTGTTTATAGGATTTCAGTTTGAACCAGGTTCCTTTGAGATTTCATATTTCTATGTGCCACCCTCTAGTGCCCAGAAGCTCTACTCTCTGGAGCTGCTTAGTCCATGGAGAGATTTCGGGGGTTTCAGTGGAGCATCACTGGTGCCTGGGGGGAGGAAAGAGCTGCTTCTTGTTTCCTAGCTGCTGTGCCTGTCTCCACTGCCAGAATTAGTGGACTGAGTGCACAGGTATAAGACTCTATGCTTTGAATTTGTAGCTGCCATGGCGGGGCTTCCCTTTTATTGGTTTGATGCCAGGGCAGGGACTGCCTGCTTGTGAGCCAGTGCAGGACAGGATAAAGGCACAGCAGGCTGCATATCATGATGAGGGGCCTCAGAGCTGTGTAGCCAGTCAGGGGGATGGAGTGCCTGAAGCTCCTGAAAATTCCCAACCTGCTGGGCAGAGTGCATTCAGACAATTTTGTCCACCTGTCCTTTCTCCTGAGCAGCAGGCTCTGTTACATCCTTGCCCATTTAATAGCCCACTCACTGTTAGGAAGTCTCTCAGACTGCCCACCCTTCTTTTGTCCCAGAGCAGCCGGATGTAGATCCCTGTTTCCACAAGTGGCTTGGAGTCTCTCCAAGTATTCTGCCTGTCTTAGCTTTCCAACCCACTAATCTCCAGAACACCATGAAATGTAAGGTTTGTGGCCCCAGGGCAGATCTCCAGGGCTGGGTGTTCAGCAGTCCTAGGCTTCCACCCTCTCCCTGCTCCATTTGTCTTTCTCCCGCCAGTGAGCTGGGGTGGGGGGAAGGGCTTGGGTTCTGCCAGATCATGGCTTTGGTATGTTACCCTGTTTCCTGAGGTCTATTCTTTTCTCCAGGTGTATGCATCTGGCGCAGTGTTCTTTCCTGTTGATCTTTTAGAATTAGTTGTATTATGTATATTTTCATATTATATGTGGTTTTGGGAGGAGGTCTCTGTCTCAACCTTTCATGCTGCCATCTTTAATCCCGAACCTATCAATTTTATTGATCTTTTTAAAGATCCAGGTTTTGAGTTCATTGATTTTCTTTATAAGTTTCCTGTTTTTGATTTCATTAATTTCTGTTCTATATTCTTTGTTTTCTGCTTGGCTTATGCTTTTTTTAAAAAAAAAAACTGGATTCCTAAGGTTTAAACTTGGTTTATTACTTTTAGAGATGTTTCTTCTTTAATATAAGCATTTAATGATACAAATGGTTCCCTCTTATGATTGACTCGGCTGCACCACACAAAGTTTTCATGTGTTTTATTTTCATTTTCATTTACATAAAAATATTTTCTAATATCTGTTGAAACTTTCTTTTTGAGCCACTGACTATTTAGAATTCTGTTATTTAATATCCAAGTGTTTGGATATTTTCCTGATATTAATATTTATAATTTCTGCTAAATTCTATATGGTCATATTATCATATTTTCATGACTTCAATTTTTTTTAAATTTAAGGTTGTTGTATGACCCATGATATGGTCCACCTTGGTGAATGTTCCATGTGCACTTGAAAATAATGATTATTCTGCTATTTTGGGTAGGACTGTTCCGTAAATGTCAATTAGATGAGTAATGTCTATTTGATAGGTTTGTGTATTGACAAAGTACCTCATCTTGTTAATCATTCTGAGATATCCCTGTAATACTTACAGGTAAGGATTCAAACAATGATTCAATAATTCAAACAATGAGAAAATACCTAAATAAAGCTGAACTACTAGGTACTTTTTGAGATGGATGGCATTGATAAGATTTTTAAATGAAATTACCATATCTTTGGCAAATGAATTATTAAGAGAACGTTAGCATTGTTAAGTATTATTTGAAGTCTCAGCTTAGTGAAGATATGAACTATATGTTTTTTATACCCAAGAAAAAAATATAATTTTTACTGAAGGAACTAGAATTCAGAACTTTTGCTTAAGAACAGTAAGTTAGATGGTAGATTAATTTTAATTTCTTAAAAAAGGAAAAATAAGATACTTACTTCTAAGATTATGAAGTAACATATCTAGTAAAGTCATAAATTTTAAAGACTGAATAACAGAAAATTCCATTCCTTTCGCCCACAAAAATCCAGATACATAATAATCTAGTAGAATGGCTTCCTTTAAACACGTTTGAATATTTTTGAAATTCAAAAACTTTTCCAGTTTTCTGTAACAAAAAGAAACATCCAGATATTAAAATCAGATTAAATAATAAGAGTTTCTTTTGCAAGTCTTGAAAAATGTACATATTTTTCTTGAATGAAAGTTCTGTAATGCCCATAATCTAAAAATATCCTTGGTTATATCAAAATCCTAAATCCAAAATGACATTCAAAAAAGAAAGAGAAAGAATGAGCAAGCAAGAGAGTAAGCAATTTTGAGTGAACTCTTCTTGGTCTTCTTTCTCCACTTTCTCTTTATTTTTCTTCTAATGTTCCTCTCTCTCCTCTGTCTCCTTTCCTCCTTTCATATTTGAAGTATAGTAACTTCACTAGTTTTTCTCTGAAATTTAATGTTTTTTTCTCATTTATACAATCAAGTTTATTTTACTTCTGAAAATGTTCTGGGACTATATTCTTAAATATTTGTTTTGCTTTCTTTTTTAAAGAATTCCAGTTTCATATATTTTATTCATTTTTTCTATAGCTATAATTTTCTCTTTAACCTTCAAATAATTTTTCAGGTCTATTTCCTTTTCGGTTTATATATATTTTCTAATTACTGTCCTCTATGTCCCTTAGTGTTTGCAACAGTGTTAATTCTTTCTTGGGCTGCTTATCAATTTCACCTCTGCAAGGTCTTTCCTTTTCTTTCTTTTATGTGTTTCATCATCTTTTCTTATTATGTCTTCCTTGAGTTTTTATATTTCTGTTTAATGCTCTTATTGGAATTGCTTCATAATTCTTTTTAATTCATGATTAAGATTTGACCATATTTTTTACCTGCTCATGGTACACTTTTCTGGTGTATTTTCTTAGCTTTTTCAGTTATTTTTCCCATTTTTCAACTATCTTTTTTTCTTGCATTGCCTTCGTATACCTTATCTTTGTTTAGTACTCAAACCTGGCCATGTTACAAGCTACTTTCCATATAAAGTAAGTTTCTGTCAAATATTCTAGTTTTTACTCATGTTTCAATTAGTGAGGGAAAAGAAAAAAAAGTATGGGTTCTCTGTACTATCACATAAACAATCTATTTCTTATAAATGAGGGAAGTATCTGCTCCAAGCTTGCACATTCAGCTCTTACTATTGCAAACTAGGGTTCTTGAAGTAGCACTTCAGGGTTTTCTCCTCACCTAGGAAGTGTATTTTTTAGCTCATTCTAAGATCTTCAACTATGTGTATTCTCATGTACTTTCTCCTGTACTTCTGGTTGATCTATAATGCTTCTAATAGTCTTCCTTCTATCTTGTGGTTTGGGCTTTCAGCATTCTTCTTGTTTGGACAAAGGTGGAATTGGTTATTTCCTTGTTGCTTACTTGTGACTTCTGGGAGACAGAGAGAAGGTGTGCAGTATGTGTGTGTGACAACTTCATACTGCCATTTTTATAAAAGAAAGCATTTATAATTCATGATATTGTAATAAATTATTTGGTAAAAATAATAAATACAGCAAGATTAACAAGTCTGAGAACAAATAAAGCTGATGTGTTGAACTAACTTTCTAACAACCATTTCTTCTATATTGGTACTAGGGTAGACCTGAACCCTAAAAATTAGTTTTGATTCTTCTATGCCAATTATGGTAATCTCATACCCCTTCCCATAATGCTACATAATGCCATTCAGTAATGTATTCTATATAATAACTATTGGTTGTGGTGGTCTCCCTTCTAAATTGTCCTAATTAATTCATAACTAAGGGTCAGTTTTGTTTTCTTCTATGGAACAAAAATACAGAAGATTAAATAAGTAGGGTTTGATTGCTACTGGCAGTCATCTTATACCTATAAGAAAAATCTAGGTGTGTCCTAAGATTACACCTTGTTTCTTGATGATACTGTTGAGGCCTTGGGTCAATCAACTCTGGAGTCAATCTATCTGTAAATATCCTATTATGTGTTATTTTACTTTCACATATCTATTTGTGTGTATATATACTTTCGGTTTTAAGTACATATGACTAGTTTTTTACGTTACATGCAACTAAAAGCATTCTAATTGATATATTTGGGCAAGTACACAACTCAGCTGGTAAATACAGGTATGAATCGGCAGGAACTCCAGGATGGGGGAGGTTACTTTACTAGCCAAGCAACTTCAATTTGCATTGGACATCAGTCAGCAAAATTAATTTTTAATGTTTAATGTATAATATTATTTAGTCTTAAGTAAAGTCAATAAGGAAACTTCAACAGTAATAAAAACTTACAGTATTTTAACAGAATCAATAAATAGGACAAAGGACAGACAGAAAGTTCAGAAACAGACCCTGTATATATATATAGGGTCTCTTCAAAAATAGTACTGGGAGAATTGGCTATCCATACAGAAACTAAAATAATACCTTACCCAATACATTAAAATAAAATACATTAAAATAAAACAACAGCCCAAATTAGTATTTTATTCTGGAATCACACTCTTCTACTCCTTAAATTTTAGAAATTTGTCACTACTGATTTCTGCTGCCTAATGTTGCTAAAGAAGAGTCTAAGGCCTACCTGGTTATTTTCTTCTCCATGTGACTTACTTTATCTCAGAGATAAAATATAAAAACAGAGATAAAGTAATGAAGTTGTATTCTATTAAAATATTAAAATATCTCAGAGATAAAGTAATGAAGTTGTATTCTATTAAAATTAAAATATAAAAAAATATTAAAAATGAGATTTAAATGATTTTTTCTGATTTACTATGTTGGAAGTATATTCTAACGTCTTCTAATTACTTTAATCTGCATTTTGCGTAAATTTTCTTAAATTTATTTTGCACATTACTGACTTGATTTTCAGCTAGATAAATCTTACACTGGTTTTAGTTTCTCACTTTAGTTCTAAGAACTTTTTATTTATGTAATTTCTTATCTCTTCCTTATTCCTTAATTCCTTGTTTTCGGGAATCAGTACCCAATATAGAATTAGGGGCCGAGTGACAGGAGGGACGTGGTGGGCTGGGTGAGAAAAAAAAATACCTTATGTATTCACCAGTTTTTGTCTAACACTTTCTTCTGTTTTAAACAGTTTGTCTTCCTTGTAGGTGGACTCTTCATCTGCCATCTCCATGCTACGATTTTTTCAAAAATTAAATATTTAGCTGAATAGCTGCATGTGTTCCTTGCTTCTTATTTTTATTTTTTCAATGTTTGACTGTATGTGAATGAAGGCAACTACTTGCCTAAGAATTTTTGGTGAGATAGTTTTGATGTCCCTCTACATTTTCTTTTTCCCATGCCTCTTCCACAACTTCTAGTACCATCTGAGTATTAATCTTGAACTTGAACTATAGGGTTAAATATTAACCATTACTGTTCTTTGTTCAGTCATCTTATCCCAAAGGAAGATTATTCAGGGAGGCATTTTGAGCAAGATTCTGCTGTGGTTTGAATACAAAAAGTTTCCATGCATTTTACTGGCAAATTTGTAGGCTTTTCCTCTGGGGATTAGGGGAGTTGAAATAGGGAAGAGGGGAGAGATGACCGCAGCATTAGCATTAGAGAAAGTAGGGAAATAGAAAGATGCTTAATAGTGGTTTAGTAAGCTTTGTTATGGTGATAGGTGATATAACTATCTTCTTTATCTCACCAAGAATTTCAGTAAAAATACTACATTATTCTTGCATGCTCTTGAAATTGGAGTGCATTTCATTATGTAAGTATGATGACATGCAGAAATAAGCCTTAAGGCAAGAGCTGAACAGCTCATGGAGGTCCAGTTATAGAAAGGTTATTAAAAGATTTCAGTGTTATTTCTATGTCTAAATAGTTATTTTCAATTTAGTCCCTATCTCTTTATCTAAAAGGATTTAGGTATATCTGTAAATAAAATCAGGGTTACATTAAAGCATGATTAATAGTAGGAGATCATGAGAAATGTACCCAGACATTTAACTTTGCTTGAAGTGTAGTCTAGAAATATGTTGTAATGATACTTCAATACTTCATTTGGTTGGCTGCTTTCATGAAGCACAATTTTTAATTTTAAAAAGTAGGGAAATGTGAGACTTCCTATAATTTATTTAAATAGGTTTATAGCTTTGTAGACTATGATTTTCACATACTTCTGTCACTTCGTGACAGGATACCTAAATTATATTTCTGTTATTTTGAAAGATATATAATCCCCACTTATAATAATGATATTTTAAATGGAAAGTGAATGACTGATTGCAAATATTTAAGGATTACTGTTACAAAAATTATATAAAGAACCTCAAGAAAATTACTTTGTAGAGAAATGGCTCCTGACATAACATTCATGTCATTTATCCAAAATTGATGTCCTGAAATTTGAGATTTGTTCAGGTGAATTCTATTAATGAGATGGTCTAAAAAGTCAATTTGTTTTGAGCCTGGTTGTTTCTAGAGAGCTAACTTCTGTCCACCCCTTGCATCACTTCCTTTGTCCTAGACCTCACCTCCTAAAACATAAAAATACTTTCAGAATTAGGATGTTAACAACAAAGAGAGCCAATAACTGAGAAAAAAAAAAAAGGCTGTCACACAAGGTGTGATACATAGTACAATTTAAGATGTGGTAAGAAATAAACAAATTTAAAAAGCATTTGTTTGCAGTACTTTTAAAAATATTCATTGCATGTAATATAACATTTAAAAAATATTTAACACAAATAATAAATTCTAGACTATATTAAATATCTATCATTTGCATCATATTATTTTACCTAGTTATATACCTATTTTTTGCCTTCCAATGACCAACAACATTTATGGTTACCTAGAAATGGAAAATAACATTTTACTTAAATCATAAACAATCAGTGACACAAATACAGTGAATGCATTTTACTAATTAATTCTGACACTAAAAATCAGAATTTTCAATGAGCATTCATTTCTATAAAAATGTCAAAGTCACCATAAAATACTTGTTTAAAAATCTGAAGTTTTTAAATGACCAATACTTGGTAAGATTCAAACAGTACACAGTGTAAGATTCAGATAGACACTGTGTACTATCCAAATGACAGATCACCAGGATTTTTAGTAGGATTTGCGAGCACTGGAGGGGAAAAGCTTCTTGAGAAAATCCTGTCAGTGTCATTTGTCTACTCTTAAAATGCCTTCCCTTCTTAAATTTTTCTTCCAGCCAGTACATCTGTGATATTTCCTTCTCAGTAGTAAATCACTGCTATTCCATAATATTTGTAAGATTTGCAAATGATTACTACTGACAGAGTCATTTTCTATTTGTCCATTATGGTTCACAATACCCTGCAAACATCTGGAGGAATGGCCTGAAGAAATCTTACACTGGGACATTATGTCCCAGAACATCACATTGTTTCCACTCTGCCAACATTATAGCCAATCAGGCTTCCATTATTAGGGCAAGATAATTTTTAAAATGAGTGATTTACTAAAAACACCTTATAGGAATTTGTGTGTTGGATATGTCTGGCTATGGTTCTAAGTAAATGGTCTCCTATAGAAATCAATGGCCTTAAGAATGAAATGCACATATATTAGAATTGTTGCCTATAAATTTAGTTATATTCACATTTTTAGGCAAAATGAATGAAATCAGAGTACTTAGTACAGCTTTATACTCAATAAAAATCACAGATGGATGGTTAATATTCAGGATTTCCAAACTAATAACACATACTGACTATTATATTATAGAAACACAACTTACTCTTGTCATGATGAGACAGAAGTCCTAACAGTTCTAGTGCAAATTGACTCAGTTTTATGAATCAAAGAGAAAGGAAATAAAAGGTACCATATGCTATAAGAACCATTTTTAACAATAAGCACCTACTCTCTGTTAATATGAACAAACTAGTCTGAAATGCATTTCTCCCATAAGGAAGACTCCTGAACAGTGCATGAAGTCAGTTGTTTGAGAATTTTTGTATTCAAGAGTTTGGAGATGTATTTATATATTTAAAACTTAGTACAATATAATAAATATTTCAAAAAGAGGTTTAAAATATGTAATAACATTCATGGTTATTTATAGATGCAGAACTAAAACCATTCTATATTTGCTTGTAATACTGACGTGCTTACCGTTGAACTCCATCTACATCCTCTGCTAGCATTTCAGTGATTTGGGCAATTGAAAGAAAGTCTGGAGACAGAATCTTTTCATGCTCCTGGAATTCAGCATCTCTCTACCAAAAAAAAAAGTGGAATAAGTTATTTCAATCACATGTTTTACATATTAATCCCAATGACATTAAAATTTATTTTTACTGTGGTCTAGTTGCTATCAGGAAAAAAAAAACAAGTCTCCTAGATAATCATTTTCATTCTCTATTTTTAAGTAATAATACTTATCTGCTGAAAAACTGAATAGCTTGTCAATCTGTTATTTCTGCATAGTTAAAACTGGGTGATGTTTTCAAGTAATAAAATATGTTTGAATATCTACATATTCCTCATTGAACTTGGGGCTCAAAAGGAGGCAAAGACAAGTAAAAAAGACTTGCTAGCCTCAGGAAGCTTAACATCTAGTGGGAGGAACAAATGAAGAGTGACTTTAAAATAAAATAAAAATGATAAATGAGGATAACATAATATGTGGCTTTCAGTATAAAAGAAGGGACAAGAAGGAGATAGGACAAGGAAAGTGTAGAGAAACTTGCCTCCTCTATAAAGAGGGGGTCCAGGAATGGACTTTGTGAGATTGGGCATGGATAATGCCTTAGGTGAATGAATGAGCGATACCAAGATGATGAAGACAGGACAGTTGGGTACCTGAAGATATCAAGTAGTTCAAAATGGTGCCTAGGGTACAAGTGAGTGACTACTTGGAACTAGTGGGAGGTGGGCATTGGGAGCATATTGTAGAAGATCTTAAATTTAATAATTTAATAAAATTTATTGAGTGATTACAAGATACTGCACAACATATCATAAATATGTTTAGACCTTGGCTGGTTAAAGAATGACAGGCTGAAGAGTTTGTTCTTTATAAGCAATAAGGAACCTGTGAAGTTTTTAAGCAGTGGAATGACAAGACAAAACTGTGTTTTAAGGATAATCTATAGGAGGATGAAGGAAAGACAGGAGCAGAGTAAGGACAGAGATGCAGAGTTCAATGAAAAGGTCGTTAAAACAGTCNTGAGAAGTCTGATGATAGTCTGATGGGTTTTTCTTTGTACGTGATCTTTTTTCTCTCTACCTGCTTTTAAAAGTCTGTCTTTACCTTTGATCTTTGCCATTTTAATTATTGTATGTCTTGCTGCTGTCTTCCTTGGGTCCCCATGTTGAGAGATCTGTGCACCTCCATGGCCTGAGAGACTATGTCCTTCCCCAGATTGGGGAAGTTTTCAGCTATTACTTCCCCAAAGACACTTTCTAGCCCTTTTTCTTTCTTTTCTTCTTCTGGTGTCCCTATAGTGCAAATATTGTTCCATTTGGATTGGTCACACAGTTCTCTCAATATTTTTTCATTCCTAGAGGTCATTTTTTCTCTCTCTGCCTCTGCTTCTTTATATTTGTGTTCTCTAATTTCTATTTCATTTATTATCTCCCCTACTACATCTAATCTGCTTTTAAATCCCTCATTGTATGTTTCATTTCAGATACTGCATTCCTTAATGAATGAATCTCAGTCCTGAATTCTATCCTGAGTTCATGAATATTTTTTTGTACCTCCATGAGCACGTTTATGATTTTTGTTATGAAATCTCTTTCAGGAAGATTGATGAGTTCAGTTTCACTTGGCTCTTTTTCTGGTGTTTATAGGATTTCAGTTTGAACCAGGTTCCTTTGAGATTTCATATTTCTATGTGCCACCCTCTAGTGCCCAGAAGCTCTACTCTCTGGAGCTGCTTAGTCCATGGAGAGATTTCGGGGGTTTCAGTGGAGCATCACTGGTGCCTGGGGGGAGGAAAGAGCTGCTTCTTGTTTCCTAGCTGCTGTGCCTGTCTCCACTGCCAGAATTAGTGGACTGAGTGCACAGGTATAAGACTCTATGCTTTGAATTTGTAGCTGCCATGGCGGGGCTTCCCTTTTATTGGTTTGATGCCAGGGCAGGGACTGCCTGCTTGTGAGCCAGTGCAGGACAGGATAAAGGCACAGCAGGCTGCATATCATGATGAGGGGCCTCAGAGCTGTGTAGCCAGTCAGGGGGATGGAGTGCCTGAAGCTCCTGAAAATTCCCAACCTGCTGGGCAGAGTGCATTCAGACAATTTTGTCCACCTGTCCTTTCTCCTGAGCAGCAGGCTCTGTTACATCCTTGCCCATTTAATAGCCCACTCACTGTTAGGAAGTCTCTCAGACTGCCCACCCTTCTTTTGTCCCAGAGCAGCCGGATGTAGATCCCTGTTTCCACAAGTGGCTTGGAGTCTCTCCAAGTATTCTGCCTGTCTTAGCTTTCCAACCCACTAATCTCCAGAACACCATGAAATGTAAGGTTTGTGGCCCCAGGGCAGATCTCCAGGGCTGGGTGTTCAGCAGTCCTAGGCTTCCACCCTCTCCCTGCTCCATTTGTCTTTCTCCCGCCAGTGAGCTGGGGTGGGGGGAAGGGCTTGGGTTCTGCCAGATCATGGCTTTGGTATGTTACCCTGTTTCCTGAGGTCTATTCTTTTCTCCAGGTGTATGCATCTGGCGCAGTGTTCTTTCCTGTTGATCTTTTAGAATTAGTTGTATTATGTATATTTTCATATTATATGTGGTTTTGGGAGGAGGTCTCTGTCTCAACCTTTCATGCTGCCATCTTTAATCCCGAACCTATCAATTTTATTGATCTTTTTAAAGATCCAGGTTTTGAGTTCATTGATTTTCTTTATAAGTTTCCTGTTTTTGATTTCATTAATTTCTGTTCTATATTCTTTGTTTTCTGCTTGGCTTATGCTTTTTTTAAAAAAAAAAACTGGATTCCTAAGGTTTAAACTTGGTTTATTACTTTTAGAGATGTTTCTTCTTTAATATAAGCATTTAATGATACAAATGGTTCCCTCTTATGATTGACTCGGCTGCACCACACAAAGTTTTCATGTGTTTTATTTTCATTTTCATTTACATAAAAATATTTTCTAATATCTGTTGAAACTTTCTTTTTGAGCCACTGACTATTTAGAATTCTGTTATTTAATATCCAAGTGTTTGGATATTTTCCTGATATTAATATTTATAATTTCTGCTAAATTCTATATGGTCATATTATCATATTTTCATGACTTCAATTTTTTTTAAATTTAAGGTTGTTGTATGACCCATGATATGGTCCACCTTGGTGAATGTTCCATGTGCACTTGAAAATAATGATTATTCTGCTATTTTGGGTAGGACTGTTCCGTAAATGTCAATTAGATGAGTAATGTCTATTTGATAGGTTTGTGTATTGACAAAGTACCTCATCTTGTTAATCATTCTGAGATATCCCTGTAATACTTACAGGTAAGGATTCAAACAATGATTCAATAATTCAAACAATGAGAAAATACCTAAATAAAGCTGAACTACTAGGTACTTTTTGAGATGGATGGCATTGATAAGATTTTTAAATGAAATTACCATATCTTTGGCAAATGAATTATTAAGAGAACGTTAGCATTGTTAAGTATTATTTGAAGTCTCAGCTTAGTGAAGATATGAACTATATGTTTTTTATACCCAAGAAAAAAATATAATTTTTACTGAAGGAACTAGAATTCAGAACTTTTGCTTAAGAACAGTAAGTTAGATGGTAGATTAATTTTAATTTCTTAAAAAAGGAAAAATAAGATACTTACTTCTAAGATTATGAAGTAACATATCTAGTAAAGTCATAAATTTTAAAGACTGAATAACAGAAAATTCCATTCCTTTCGCCCACAAAAATCCAGATACATAATAATCTAGTAGAATGGCTTCCTTTAAACACGTTTGAATATTTTTGAAATTCAAAAACTTTTCCAGTTTTCTGTAACAAAAAGAAACATCCAGATATTAAAATCAGATTAAATAATAAGAGTTTCTTTTGCAAGTCTTGAAAAATGTACATATTTTTCTTGAATGAAAGTTCTGTAATGCCCATAATCTAAAAATATCCTTGGTTATATCAAAATCCTAAATCCAAAATGACATTCAAAAAAGAAAGAGAAAGAATGAGCAAGCAAGAGAGTAAGCAATTTTGAGTGAACTCTTCTTGGTCTTCTTTCTCCACTTTCTCTTTATTTTTCTTCTAATGTTCCTCTCTCTCCTCTGTCTCCTTTCCTCCTTTCATATTTGAAGTATAGTAACTTCACTAGTTTTTCTCTGAAATTTAATGTTTTTTTCTCATTTATACAATCAAGTTTATTTTACTTCTGAAAATGTTCTGGGACTATATTCTTAAATATTTGTTTTGCTTTCTTTTTTAAAGAATTCCAGTTTCATATATTTTATTCATTTTTTCTATAGCTATAATTTTCTCTTTAACCTTCAAATAATTTTTCAGGTCTATTTCCTTTTCGGTTTATATATATTTTCTAATTACTGTCCTCTATGTCCCTTAGTGTTTGCAACAGTGTTAATTCTTTCTTGGGCTGCTTATCAATTTCACCTCTGCAAGGTCTTTCCTTTTCTTTCTTTTATGTGTTTCATCATCTTTTCTTATTATGTCTTCCTTGAGTTTTTATATTTCTGTTTAATGCTCTTATTGGAATTGCTTCATAATTCTTTTTAATTCATGATTAAGATTTGACCATATTTTTTACCTGCTCATGGTACACTTTTCTGGTGTATTTTCTTAGCTTTTTCAGTTATTTTTCCCATTTTTCAACTATCTTTTTTTCTTGCATTGCCTTCGTATACCTTATCTTTGTTTAGTACTCAAACCTGGCCATGTTACAAGCTACTTTCCATATAAAGTAAGTTTCTGTCAAATATTCTAGTTTTTACTCATGTTTCAATTAGTGAGGGAAAAGAAAAAAAAGTATGGGTTCTCTGTACTATCACATAAACAATCTATTTCTTATAAATGAGGGAAGTATCTGCTCCAAGCTTGCACATTCAGCTCTTACTATTGCAAACTAGGGTTCTTGAAGTAGCACTTCAGGGTTTTCTCCTCACCTAGGAAGTGTATTTTTTAGCTCATTCTAAGATCTTCAACTATGTGTATTCTCATGTACTTTCTCCTGTACTTCTGGTTGATCTATAATGCTTCTAATAGTCTTCCTTCTATCTTGTGGTTTGGGCTTTCAGCATTCTTCTTGTTTGGACAAAGGTGGAATTGGTTATTTCCTTGTTGCTTACTTGTGACTTCTGGGAGACAGAGAGAAGGTGTGCAGTATGTGTGTGTGACAACTTCATACTGCCATTTTTATAAAAGAAAGCATTTATAATTCATGATATTGTAATAAATTATTTGGTAAAAATAATAAATACAGCAAGATTAACAAGTCTGAGAACAAATAAAGCTGATGTGTTGAACTAACTTTCTAACAACCATTTCTTCTATATTGGTACTAGGGTAGACCTGAACCCTAAAAATTAGTTTTGATTCTTCTATGCCAATTATGGTAATCTCATACCCCTTCCCATAATGCTACATAATGCCATTCAGTAATGTATTCTATATAATAACTATTGGTTGTGGTGGTCTCCCTTCTAAATTGTCCTAATTAATTCATAACTAAGGGTCAGTTTTGTTTTCTTCTATGGAACAAAAATACAGAAGATTAAATAAGTAGGGTTTGATTGCTACTGGCAGTCATCTTATACCTATAAGAAAAATCTAGGTGTGTCCTAAGATTACACCTTGTTTCTTGATGATACTGTTGAGGCCTTGGGTCAATCAACTCTGGAGTCAATCTATCTGTAAATATCCTATTATGTGTTATTTTACTTTCACATATCTATTTGTGTGTATATATACTTTCGGTTTTAAGTACATATGACTAGTTTTTTACGTTACATGCAACTAAAAGCATTCTAATTGATATATTTGGGCAAGTACACAACTCAGCTGGTAAATACAGGTATGAATCGGCAGGAACTCCAGGATGGGGGAGGTTACTTTACTAGCCAAGCAACTTCAATTTGCATTGGACATCAGTCAGCAAAATTAATTTTTAATGTTTAATGTATAATATTATTTAGTCTTAAGTAAAGTCAATAAGGAAACTTCAACAGTAATAAAAACTTACAGTATTTTAACAGAATCAATAAATAGGACAAAGGACAGACAGAAAGTTCAGAAACAGACCCTGTATATATATATAGGGTCTCTTCAAAAATAGTACTGGGAGAATTGGCTATCCATACAGAAACTAAAATAATACCTTACCCAATACATTAAAATAAAATACATTAAAATAAAACAACAGCCCAAATTAGTATTTTATTCTGGAATCACACTCTTCTACTCCTTAAATTTTAGAAATTTGTCACTACTGATTTCTGCTGCCTAATGTTGCTAAAGAAGAGTCTAAGGCCTACCTGGTTATTTTCTTCTCCATGTGACTTACTTTATCTCAGAGATAAAATATAAAAACAGAGATAAAGTAATGAAGTTGTATTCTATTAAAATATTAAAATATCTCAGAGATAAAGTAATGAAGTTGTATTCTATTAAAATTAAAATATAAAAAAATATTAAAAATGAGATTTAAATGATTTTTTCTGATTTACTATGTTGGAAGTATATTCTAACGTCTTCTAATTACTTTAATCTGCATTTTGCGTAAATTTTCTTAAATTTATTTTGCACATTACTGACTTGATTTTCAGCTAGATAAATCTTACACTGGTTTTAGTTTCTCACTTTAGTTCTAAGAACTTTTTATTTATGTAATTTCTTATCTCTTCCTTATTCCTTAATTCCTTGTTTTCGGGAATCAGTACCCAATATAGAATTAGGGGCCGAGTGACAGGAGGGACGTGGTGGGCTGGGTGAGAAAAAAAAATACCTTATGTATTCACCAGTTTTTGTCTAACACTTTCTTCTGTTTTAAACAGTTTGTCTTCCTTGTAGGTGGACTCTTCATCTGCCATCTCCATGCTACGATTTTTTCAAAAATTAAATATTTAGCTGAATAGCTGCATGTGTTCCTTGCTTCTTATTTTTATTTTTTCAATGTTTGACTGTATGTGAATGAAGGCAACTACTTGCCTAAGAATTTTTGGTGAGATAGTTTTGATGTCCCTCTACATTTTCTTTTTCCCATGCCTCTTCCACAACTTCTAGTACCATCTGAGTATTAATCTTGAACTTGAACTATAGGGTTAAATATTAACCATTACTGTTCTTTGTTCAGTCATCTTATCCCAAAGGAAGATTATTCAGGGAGGCATTTTGAGCAAGATTCTGCTGTGGTTTGAATACAAAAAGTTTCCATGCATTTTACTGGCAAATTTGTAGGCTTTTCCTCTGGGGATTAGGGGAGTTGAAATAGGGAAGAGGGGAGAGATGACCGCAGCATTAGCATTAGAGAAAGTAGGGAAATAGAAAGATGCTTAATAGTGGTTTAGTAAGCTTTGTTATGGTGATAGGTGATATAACTATCTTCTTTATCTCACCAAGAATTTCAGTAAAAATACTACATTATTCTTGCATGCTCTTGAAATTGGAGTGCATTTCATTATGTAAGTATGATGACATGCAGAAATAAGCCTTAAGGCAAGAGCTGAACAGCTCATGGAGGTCCAGTTATAGAAAGGTTATTAAAAGATTTCAGTGTTATTTCTATGTCTAAATAGTTATTTTCAATTTAGTCCCTATCTCTTTATCTAAAAGGATTTAGGTATATCTGTAAATAAAATCAGGGTTACATTAAAGCATGATTAATAGTAGGAGATCATGAGAAATGTACCCAGACATTTAACTTTGCTTGAAGTGTAGTCTAGAAATATGTTGTAATGATACTTCAATACTTCATTTGGTTGGCTGCTTTCATGAAGCACAATTTTTAATTTTAAAAAGTAGGGAAATGTGAGACTTCCTATAATTTATTTAAATAGGTTTATAGCTTTGTAGACTATGATTTTCACATACTTCTGTCACTTCGTGACAGGATACCTAAATTATATTTCTGTTATTTTGAAAGATATATAATCCCCACTTATAATAATGATATTTTAAATGGAAAGTGAATGACTGATTGCAAATATTTAAGGATTACTGTTACAAAAATTATATAAAGAACCTCAAGAAAATTACTTTGTAGAGAAATGGCTCCTGACATAACATTCATGTCATTTATCCAAAATTGATGTCCTGAAATTTGAGATTTGTTCAGGTGAATTCTATTAATGAGATGGTCTAAAAAGTCAATTTGTTTTGAGCCTGGTTGTTTCTAGAGAGCTAACTTCTGTCCACCCCTTGCATCACTTCCTTTGTCCTAGACCTCACCTCCTAAAACATAAAAATACTTTCAGAATTAGGATGTTAACAACAAAGAGAGCCAATAACTGAGAAAAAAAAAAAAGGCTGTCACACAAGGTGTGATACATAGTACAATTTAAGATGTGGTAAGAAATAAACAAATTTAAAAAGCATTTGTTTGCAGTACTTTTAAAAATATTCATTGCATGTAATATAACATTTAAAAAATATTTAACACAAATAATAAATTCTAGACTATATTAAATATCTATCATTTGCATCATATTATTTTACCTAGTTATATACCTATTTTTTGCCTTCCAATGACCAACAACATTTATGGTTACCTAGAAATGGAAAATAACATTTTACTTAAATCATAAACAATCAGTGACACAAATACAGTGAATGCATTTTACTAATTAATTCTGACACTAAAAATCAGAATTTTCAATGAGCATTCATTTCTATAAAAATGTCAAAGTCACCATAAAATACTTGTTTAAAAATCTGAAGTTTTTAAATGACCAATACTTGGTAAGATTCAAACAGTACACAGTGTAAGATTCAGATAGACACTGTGTACTATCCAAATGACAGATCACCAGGATTTTTAGTAGGATTTGCGAGCACTGGAGGGGAAAAGCTTCTTGAGAAAATCCTGTCAGTGTCATTTGTCTACTCTTAAAATGCCTTCCCTTCTTAAATTTTTCTTCCAGCCAGTACATCTGTGATATTTCCTTCTCAGTAGTAAATCACTGCTATTCCATAATATTTGTAAGATTTGCAAATGATTACTACTGACAGAGTCATTTTCTATTTGTCCATTATGGTTCACAATACCCTGCAAACATCTGGAGGAATGGCCTGAAGAAATCTTACACTGGGACATTATGTCCCAGAACATCACATTGTTTCCACTCTGCCAACATTATAGCCAATCAGGCTTCCATTATTAGGGCAAGATAATTTTTAAAATGAGTGATTTACTAAAAACACCTTATAGGAATTTGTGTGTTGGATATGTCTGGCTATGGTTCTAAGTAAATGGTCTCCTATAGAAATCAATGGCCTTAAGAATGAAATGCACATATATTAGAATTGTTGCCTATAAATTTAGTTATATTCACATTTTTAGGCAAAATGAATGAAATCAGAGTACTTAGTACAGCTTTATACTCAATAAAAATCACAGATGGATGGTTAATATTCAGGATTTCCAAACTAATAACACATACTGACTATTATATTATAGAAACACAACTTACTCTTGTCATGATGAGACAGAAGTCCTAACAGTTCTAGTGCAAATTGACTCAGTTTTATGAATCAAAGAGAAAGGAAATAAAAGGTACCATATGCTATAAGAACCATTTTTAACAATAAGCACCTACTCTCTGTTAATATGAACAAACTAGTCTGAAATGCATTTCTCCCATAAGGAAGACTCCTGAACAGTGCATGAAGTCAGTTGTTTGAGAATTTTTGTATTCAAGAGTTTGGAGATGTATTTATATATTTAAAACTTAGTACAATATAATAAATATTTCAAAAAGAGGTTTAAAATATGTAATAACATTCATGGTTATTTATAGATGCAGAACTAAAACCATTCTATATTTGCTTGTAATACTGACGTGCTTACCGTTGAACTCCATCTACATCCTCTGCTAGCATTTCAGTGATTTGGGCAATTGAAAGAAAGTCTGGAGACAGAATCTTTTCATGCTCCTGGAATTCAGCATCTCTCTACCAAAAAAAAAAGTGGAATAAGTTATTTCAATCACATGTTTTACATATTAATCCCAATGACATTAAAATTTATTTTTACTGTGGTCTAGTTGCTATCAGGAAAAAAAAAACAAGTCTCCTAGATAATCATTTTCATTCTCTATTTTTAAGTAATAATACTTATCTGCTGAAAAACTGAATAGCTTGTCAATCTGTTATTTCTGCATAGTTAAAACTGGGTGATGTTTTCAAGTAATAAAATATGTTTGAATATCTACATATTCCTCATTGAACTTGGGGCTCAAAAGGAGGCAAAGACAAGTAAAAAAGACTTGCTAGCCTCAGGAAGCTTAACATCTAGTGGGAGGAACAAATGAAGAGTGACTTTAAAATAAAATAAAAATGATAAATGAGGATAACATAATATGTGGCTTTCAGTATAAAAGAAGGGACAAGAAGGAGATAGGACAAGGAAAGTGTAGAGAAACTTGCCTCCTCTATAAAGAGGGGGTCCAGGAATGGACTTTGTGAGATTGGGCATGGATAATGCCTTAGGTGAATGAATGAGCGATACCAAGATGATGAAGACAGGACAGTTGGGTACCTGAAGATATCAAGTAGTTCAAAATGGTGCCTAGGGTACAAGTGAGTGACTACTTGGAACTAGTGGGAGGTGGGCATTGGGAGCATATTGTAGAAGATCTTAAATTTAATAATTTAATAAAATTTATTGAGTGATTACAAGATACTGCACAACATATCATAAATATGTTTAGACCTTGGCTGGTTAAAGAATGACAGGCTGAAGAGTTTGTTCTTTATAAGCAATAAGGAACCTGTGAAGTTTTTAAGCAGTGGAATGACAAGACAAAACTGTGTTTTAAGGATAATCTATAGGAGGATGAAGGAAAGACAGGAGCAGAGTAAGGACAGAGATGCAGAGTTCAATGAAAAGGTCGTTAAAACAGTCCAGGAATGAGGCCTTGGGCTGCACTGGGTTCTTTGCAGACTGCATGGAGAAAAAGGGGTGAATACAACATATTACATATGGGGAACTAAAAGAAGGAAGAAAGAACAGCTGACTGGAAGAAAAAGGTGTCTTTCTCAGAACCTCCAATAGCACATACCATTGTGTGAACCAGCCAATAGCATCCTCTTTGGGTGGAGGAAGTGCTAAAAGTCTCAAGGCAAACACAGCCCTGCATTCAAGCACACTGCTTGTAAATATAGTTTCAGCTTCTGCTCACCCTCAGCCAAGCCCTGTTGTTTAGAATACAATCTACAAAACTATATGTGACACTCGTATTACATCAGTAGAAATAGGAGGTCTGGAAGATGATGCTAGTTTTAAGAAGGCAAAATGAGTTTGGAATTAGTGGTTGAGTTCAAGGTGGAAGGAAGAAATATTTAATTAGAAATGTTAATTAGAAATGTCTGAGTCAGACAGATTAAGTTTAAAGATGTTGGTTTAGAAGTCATTGCAAGTGTGAGAATGGTTGAGACTGTCCAAAACCAGAGTGTGAAGAGAAGAGCTCTGACTCGGGGATGGAAAAGAAGACTGAGAAACAGAAGACAGGATGAGCACCACAAAAATCAAGGACTGTGAAATTTGGGGGGAAGGAGAGGACAAATATTTTCAGTTCAACAAACAGTTATTTATTCTTCCATGTGAATGGGCTCCAATAAGTAAGAATATAAGAAAATGCTTTGCTATAACAAGATCACATGCCAAATTTTCCTTATTCCTTTTCAAGAGTAGAAAAATCCCAAAGCTAACACTTACTGGTAATGGTCATCAGCTTAATGTCTATAATTTAGTACTAGTTATCAAATTTTTATTTTTAAAAAGTTAATTTAGAAATAATAATATGCTACTTTATTAGCTATCTTTTTATAATCTAGGGTTAGCAAATTAACCCAAACTAGGCCAAAACCATTAGATTATAAACTCAAAAAAGAAAAATATTTTAGTACCTAATATAATACCTTGCACCTAGCAGGCACTCAGATACTTGTCAATTGAGTTAAATGTACTCAGTTTTCAGATAGGATACTATTTAAGTCAAAAATACATAACTATATATTTCTTTAAGTATTTGTTGACTATATATGTATATTTTTTTCTTATTATTAGCAGTACTGTATAATAATTCTTGTACTTTCAATCCCATTAGATTATAAATTCCTCAGGGACAGTCTTACTTCTTTTCAGAATTCTACAGATCCTTGTTATGGATCCCAGGCTGTTAATCAACTATCTGAATTCATCTCTATCACACAATGACACTGTTAGATGATGGAGCATAATGAAAAGCAGGACTTGGATTTGGAGATCTCATGATGGTTTGACTACTGATTAATTTTGTTACAGCAAGTCAATTGAACATAAATTTGGATTTATGTTAAAATGTCATTTGGTATGTTTTAATACCCACAAGTTTGCTATCATTATTAATCACAGTATATATGTACACGAAAATTATGTTGTATAGATATTCAGATCAATTTTATTATATTTGAAGATTTTCTGAATAGAAGAAAATAGGTCATGCAAGAACTGTATGAGAGAGAATACAGGGATTTAAATCTTTTGTACAATAATAATTCTAGCTAGGATGCCCAGTATTAATGCCTCATTTTTTTACTAAAACTTGATAGCTTAAGATAATCATCTCATAGGGAGGGTTTGCCTCTGGCTCTTTTATTTTCTTTTGTTTTAAATTGAATTACTGGACCTACTTTAAACCAGAGCTCTCTTCGGTTTGTTTATACACTGCCTAGCCCAAGAAAGGATATAAGGTAGTTAAAAATATTTAATCTTTTAACACATATACCCTGACTTATGAAAATAAAAGATACGATAGAAAATTCATGAATAAGCTAATAAAAATGTGGACATGTAATTGTGGCTTTCTCTATAAAATTACACCTTTGACTAGGAAAGTATATAAGCTAAACTGCACTGTAACTCATTGTACTCCACCACCTGGTGGATTTTAGCAATTATTTCTGAAGTAATGAAATTGTAAGTCTGTTATTATTTGCCAGATAATCTTTTCTATGTATTTTTTCTCTAATATCATCTAAACTTTCCACATTTGTATGTATGCCTTCCTTCTAGAATTTAGCTTTAGGGGGTATCTTTTCATCTACCACTGGCAGTGTCTTAAAAGATTCTAAATAAATGTGTCTAAGTAAATGATACAGTTAAGTAACTAACAATTTACCAAAGATTTCTAAATAAAGAACACAGTTCACCAAAGATGACTAAAGAATGGTTTCTCAATCATAGAAAACACAGACTGACCTACAAAATCCACTTTGAAAAGCACTCTTCAAGCCTGAAAATAAATGAACTAAGGAACAGCATGGAGTTGAGCCACATTAGAGCCTGAGGCAAAAAGGAAAAATCAGTAATACTGATGCCATTTCTATTTAAAAATCTGAGTCATTATGGATATTTCTCATTGATTTTGACTTTTAAAATATTGCATTAAAATACAGTTTATCTTAACCACTGAATTTTTTGACATCTCTTAGATTTTGTGTCCAAAGAGACTGCTTCACTAGCTTTACTACATTCCTAGCCATGCTCAGGAACCAATTTAAGAAAAAGAACAATATTTTAAAAATAAATAAATAAAATAAGGATAGGTAAGAGCAAGAGCTAGTTCTTTAAAATAATGAATAGAGAGGCAAATCTTTGGCAAATGTGATTAAAGAATAAATAAAAAATAAATATACCTCACATCAAATGGAAATACATTTGAAAATTAGAAGGAATTGGGTGATTTTCTAGGAATACATTCATCAAATTTGACTAAGGGGAAAGAAGAAAATGGAACTGACCAAACATGAACTAAATTAAAACTCTACTTTTTAAAAAAGTCACCATGCCCAGATAGCTTTACACTTGAACTTCTACCTAACAATCTAGAACACATAAGTTCTGTTAGTCTAATAATTACAGGCTGTAGATAATTTATTTCTGAGAAGCCAGCATAGTCTACACAAAAAACCTGAACTAGCACAAAAAGAAATTATAAACCAAAATAATGAATTCAGATGCAAAAATTTTAATTAAAATATTATTTTAGAAAATTGAATTCAGCAGCATGCTAAAAGAGTAAGCTATCATTATGACCAAATAAAGTTAATTTTAGAAATGCAAACATGGATCATTAGTCACTCTAAAACACTTTTTATTTCAAATTAAATAAGGAAAATATGATTATATAAATAAACAAGCATTTGCTAGAAGTTAGCAGCAGAACTGTTGGTAAAATATGAATAGAAAAAATAGCTAAACATGAAAAAGATTATTTGCCAAAATATTATACTGAATGGTAAAATATTGAAGTCATTCTTAGGAAACCAGAAATTAAAAAGGGAATCTGGCTAGTAACATTATTGTAATTCAACATACTACAGAGGCTCTAACTAACACCATAAGAAAATTAAATATATGGCTTAAATATTAGAAATGAAACAAAAATTATATCATTTGACGATCACATGGTTGCATACTTAGGAAGCCTGACATTGTACTTATCTGGTTTGAGCTAATTAAGAAATTTGACAAATTGGTTACTTATAAATACAGTTACTTATAAATATATAAAGGCCAATTGCTTTTCTTTCTATTAGGAGCTAATTAGAAATGGAAATGGAAAAACTTGATTAACTATACTTGCTTACAAATATAACAGAACTATGAGACCTAAAGAAATTATAAATTGTATTAGAAATTTTTATTAATAAATTACATATATATGTATATATATATAATATACAAAAGTGCAAGTTTTGGGAAATTAAAAAATAAATGTACACATGTATATAAATTTATACGTATACATGTATACATATGTTTAGAGTCTCTGTTCCACTATTTTGTCCATCCTTGTCCATTCATATTATATGTATATATTATATTCATATTATGTATGTCTGCATACATAAATATATGTATTATAATATATATATCATATATATATCATATATATATATATATATAT